TACTGCGCCGCGTGGTGACGTCACGCCGCGCCGCACGGTGACGTCACCGATTCCGATGACGTCACCAGCCCGGCCAGCCGGGGCGGGGAGCCCGGCGAGGCGTTTCAGCCCCACGAAGTCAGCCCTGTTTACAACACTCAGGCTTTTTCATTTACAGCACAGCTAAATTCACAGGGTAGAAGGACGTCTGCACCTGGTCTAGATGCAAGTGGGACTGGGATCCTGACCTAGCCTCACAAACGCTCTTCCTCACAATATCACCCTAAGGAGCACCTCAAGGCTCATCACTAACTTTTTCCCTTTACTGCTTTCTGAGAAAGTGCCCTCTGCACACATGTTATTCCCAAAGCGAACCAAACACAGTTGCCCACACAATTCTGCCAGGAGGGTTAAAACGAGCAACTTGCCAAGCACTGGCACCCTTAACTCTGTGGTATTCGATCCAGTTCACCTTTTCATCCTCCCCAACCCCACCTTTGCCCATGTCAAAATGCCCAGGCAGACTACAGACAGATGGGAGAGTCGGTCTAATGTCACACAAGACATCTTGGGGAATGCAGTCACCCCCAGACATGCCCATTTGCCCCAAACATGACATGTTCTTTCGCTCCCAAGCTAGACGCTATTACAGGCTCCTGTCAAAGATGCTGCAGGTTCTTCATTTGGCATGCATCATACCTCCAGTCCTTCTGGCACACTGAGACAATTTTGGTATTGAGATGTCCCTCACCTGTCTGTGCTGAGCATTCCCTTTCAGCTACTCAGCCACAGGATTTCCGGAGCCTACGTCAACCCAGCCTTGCCACGTGCCACCTCCTTGATGCTAGATAGTCATCATCACAGCATCATGCTGTGTCTTCTCCCAGAGAGCCCCATCCACAGCACAACAGCCGCTGCTGTTTGCTGCCTATTGAGAGCACAAACTGGTTTTAGAAGCCAAATTCTCAATGAATTGATTACAATCATTGCTGTGGCTCAGGAAGGAAACACAGTCATGTACTTCTACAAACTCATTTCCTGATGGTGTCCCACTTACTGGCATTTACATGTCTCAGAACACAGCCACTGGAAAGATCCTTCATGCTACTGAGCAGCAAGGCTACTAAGCAGCGTAGGCAAAAATGAAGATTTGCCAACCTAAGGGTGACGGGCCAGGGCTGGGCTACTACTAAAAGGAAAGGGGACAGACCAGCCAAGTCTCATAGCTGGTAGGAAAATATGAACAGGTAGATTTGCTGCCAAAGGGATTAGAGAGCTGAGGCAAAAACTTACTGTTGCTGGGAAGGGCCACGACTGTCAGCAGCAGCTGCAGCAGCATCAGGTACCACCCTACTCCAGCTTTGTAGCGCTAACTGCACCTAATGCTACTAGGAGAGCTAATTGGGCTGTGCGACTACGGCTGTTGGGCCACCCCTAATAGTTTGCTGCCTTCCTTGCTCCAGTCTCAGAGTTAGCTGTTCCTTCAGTGACCATGACTGAGAACATAGCACGACAGCCTATGCTCCAGCCAGCCTTGGTCCTGCCATCCACATACTAAAGGGGGGGGTCTGTAAACACTGAATAGACAAACAGGATGTTTAGGAGTCACATTCCTCCTCATCAAGGACAGTATTTTGCGTTCCACCTGGGCATGGAGAGTTGGTCATATTAATGCCAGCAGATGGTTATCTGTTCCCTAGGGACACATTTGAGACATTTATTTGTTTATACTGCATTAAACTGTCCACTCAAAATATACAAGGACCAACTCCTACGCCAGTTAACACGCAGATTACCATTTGAGATAGTGGGACAAGGC